TTATTTGATTTTGTACAGAGAGGAAGAGAGAGAGATAGAGAGTTAGAAACATCGATGAGAGAGAGTCATCGATCAGCTGCCTCTTGCACACCCCCTACTGGGGATATGCCCGCAACCAAGGTACATGCCCTTGACCGGAATCGAACCCGGGCCCTCCAGTCCCCAAGCCGACGCTCTATCCATTGAGCCAAACCGGTCTCGGCTGCCATCTTTTTTTTAATCCTCACCAGGGCATATGTTTCTAGTTTTTATTTTTTTAAACTTATTTTTATTAAACTCAGAGAGGAAGGGAGAGGGAGAGGGAGATAGAAACATCAGCGATGAAAGGGAATCATTGATCAGCTGCCTTCTGCATGCCCCACACTGGGGATTGAACCCACAACCCGTGGGAATGGAACTGTGATCTCCTGGTTCATAAGTCAACGCTCAACCACTGTGCCATGTAGGCTGGGCTGGTTTTATTGATTTTAGAGAGAGAGGAAAGGGGAGAGAGGAACATGGAGTATGCACCAACCTAGGTATGTGCCTTGACCGGGAATTGAATCCACAACTGGACTATGCTCTGACCAATTAAGCCACACCTGCCAGGGCATACTTATTTGATCTCAAAGGGAATGCAGGCCTTCTATTCTCCAAGTTCACAGGGGGGATGAGCCACATTATCTAATAAAAGAGCTAATTCATCCAGACATCTGGCCCTGGGCCTGCAATAGAGATTTAGAAAATGATGTCATCCGGAAATGCTCTGTAGAAAGGCAAGTCATAATCATCATGGAAAGGCCCAAGATTGGCAGTCAAGAGACCTTAAGTCTGGGCTGGCCTCTCCACGTACTTGCTGTATATCTCTGAACAAACCATGGTCAAATCTCTGGGCCTCAGTTTCCTATAGATAAGGCGAAGGCTTTTAACTAAGGCCCCCAATAGTTCTGATACTGTCTCTTCAGACAGAACTTCATGAATCCATCCAGGTAACAGCTGGCTCTATATACACTGCCACAGAGGCTCTTGGGGTCCATGAGGGTCTGAGCAGGTGAAGGGCGGATGAAGGCAGGGCTGCAGGAGAGAACCGTATGCAGTGTGCAGGGCGGCTGGGGTCCATCTGGAAGCTGGCACACAGCCCAGAGCAAGGGCAGCAGTGGCAACAGGCAAGAAGGGGTGGATGTGAGCGAATACCAGGGAAGGCTGTCAGGACCCAAGGGCTGTCTGAATGTTTGCAGGGAAAGCCCAAGGAAAGGCAAGGGGTACAGATAACTCCAAAGTGACTGGGACAATGAGGCCAGAAGAGCAGAGCAATTCCATGGTCAAGTAGGAGGAATGTTATATTTCTCTCTTCATTATATATTTATATCTAAATATATCTCTTCATGATATATTTCTCTCTTCATTATAGAGGCAGTCCATGTTCACTAAAGGGAACTTGGAAAATAATTTAAAAACTAAAAAGAAAATAATTTAAAAATTAAAAAGAAATACCCCATATTTTCACCATTCAAATGCCATTACTTTCACCACTTTGTTAGACCATCTTTTTTTCCTCTCATGTGTAGTTTTTCTTTTGATCAGAAGTAGCTTAAGATAGTGGGGGAAATATTGTGTTTTTGTTTCTTTGTTTTTTATAAAATATATTTTATTGATTTTTTACAGAGAGGAAGGGAGAGAGAGAGAGAGCTAGAAACATTGATGAGAGAGAAACACCGACCAGCTGCCTCCTGCACACCCACCACTGGGGATGTGCCCACAACCAATGTACATGCCCATGACCGAAATTGAACCCGGGACCCCTCAGTCCAAAGGCCGATGCTCTATCCACTGAGCCAAACCGATTTCGGCTGTTTCTTTGTTTTTTATTGATTTTTAGAGCGAGAGGAAGAGAGAGGGAGAGCCTGCAGCCCAGGCACGTGCCGTGGCCTGGCGTGGAACTGGGGATCTTTTTATGTACCAGAGAGTGCGATGACACCCAGCCACCTGGGCCACAGCCAGGGTGAAGGAGTGTAGTTTTTTTTTTGTTTGTTTGTTTTGTTTTTTAAATATATTTTATTGATGTTTTTTACAGAGAGGAAAGTTAGAAACATCGATGAAAGAGAAACACTGATTCAGCTGCCTCTTGCACACTCCCCATTGGGGATGTGCCAGCAACCAAGGTATATACCCTTGACTGGAATGGAACACAGGACCCCTCAGTCCACAGGCCGATGCTCCATCCACGGAGCCAAACCGGCCAGGGCAAGGCTGTAGTTTTTGATGCCAGAGAGACAGGATTACATTCTGGCTCTGTTCCTTTTTTCAGATAGCACTTATTGAGTACTCAGTGTCACATTTTTTTTTTTGTATTAATTCGTTTAATCCTCATAATAACCCCATGCAGCAAACAAAGAGACTAAGGCACACTGATAGTAAGTGGCAGAGAAGAGCATGAAACCCAGTAGTCTCAAGGGTGAAGCTCACAAGCTCAACCCCGATCCAGGCTTGCCTCCCACTCTTCACGTGACCTGGGCAGTCAGTAAACCTCTGCAAAGTGGAAATTATTCTGAGTTGTGTGAGCATTAGCAATTATATACACTGAGTGACCAGATCATTATGATCTCCGAACACATAATAATCTGGCCACTCAGTGTATATCCTAAATAATAAAAGGCTAATATGCAAAAGTTCCCCTTGATCAGGAGTTTGACCAGCAGGCAGGCTAGCCAACCACCCATGACCCCTGCTCCTGGCTAGGCTGGCCGGATCTCACCCATGCATGAATTCATACGCGGGCCTCTAATACACACACACACACACACACACACACACACACACACACACTCTCGCTGAGAAGCCAGATTATTATGCATTCAGAGATCACAATAATCTGGCCACTCAGTGTATGTCCAGTGCCTGGCACACAGTAAATCTCTCATCTATTGGTGGCAGCTTACCACTTGAAAATGAGTTTGTGTTTCAGTAAAGGTGAAGGTGGAACTTCCATCTGAACTCAGAATTCTAAATATGGAAAAGCCCACTGACGCAATAGAATTGCTTGCTGGGACTCCAATCCCTGCTCTGTTAACTGCCACATGATTGACAAGTTAGTTAACCTGTCTGAGCCTGTTTGCTCATCTGGAAAATGGGGATAGAAATAGTACCTACTTTCTTGGTTTGAATGTATGGGGCAATATGTGGGAAATACTGAGCAACAGGGTTTGGGCACTGTTGGTGCTTGATAAAAATAGGTTTTGTAATGGTGTGTATAATGGATGTAATAATAAATCTGTGGTAATATAGTATTATCATAAGGTCAAATCTCCTTATTAGGATTCCTGTATGTATAAAGTTTTGGGGGGAAATAGGAATTAAACCATAAAACCCTTTATTCCCACCCAGCTGTGACAAAACTCAGAAAACCTAGAGAAAGGGATGCAGACCCTAGATTCCCACCCGTAATGTGGACAGCGGGGAGATGTTGCAGCTCAGTCAGAAAAATGACCAAAGGTTTTGCTACAAAACCTAGTAGGTAAAGCCGTTCTAGAAAACAAATTGGGAAGAATTTTCCTATGGAGGGGTCGGGGGTTAAGTCATCATGAAAAGATGTGGAGTCTCTTTTTTGGAAGAGAATTAATAGGACCAATCTTGCTTTGTAAAGAATGGTCTTTAAGAGGAATTCTTCATTCAGGAAAAGCAATGAGCATGGCTTAAAGGAATCCACGGTTCTGTGAAGGTCATTAACTCAACCACTTTGGTGAGCTGGAACCTCTAGCTCCCGAGGATGACATTTCACTGGGAGAGAGTGGCCAACTCCAGACCAGAAGCATCCCTGAGTGTCAGGGAAGGCATCTGCGCACCAGGCGGGGAGCAGCTGACCCGAGAGCACCAACAGGGACTCAGCTCCGACAGACTCCAAGGTAAACAAACTCCAACAAAAGGTACCACTGCGGTCCAGCAGAGAAGCCGGGCGGCGGGAAGAAGGGCTTCCCGGGGCTGGCAAGGGTGGTTACAAGGTGCAGGCACCCGGATTCCACTCATCGGAGGCTCAGCCGCACAGATTCCGGGATCCCTCACCGCCGGGGAAAGGGATATGATTTCCCGGGGGCTGATGGCGGCGGCGACGGCGAAGTCATTTGCATGGGCTTTCCCCGTGTCTCCACTCTCGCCCCATCCGGGAGCCTGAAGCCTGCGGGAGGGACTGCTGACCCAGACCTGACAGGGAAGCGGGAAGCAGCCGCTCCACTCAGGGCGCCCGACCTTCAGGTGCCCCACTTCACTGGCGCGTCTGGGCCTCCGGGGCTCGGGGTGCTGTTCTGGGGCGCAGGCAACCCCCGCCCCCCGCGAGCTGGACTCGGTGGAGCCGGCGTAGAGCAGCCTCCGGGGCGCGGTCGAGGGCGGGCGCCTCGGGGCTCGGCCCTCGGGGGCCCGGCTGCGGGGGAGGGCCGGGGACCCGGGCCGCGGACAGGTGCACCGGAAGCGGGGCAGGGGAGCGCCGGCCGAGGCGCGTGGGGCGTGGGCTGGGGCGGCGGCGCCCGGGTTAATGTCCGCCCCGCCCCGGCGCGCTGACTCAGTTTCACCAGAAACTTGGGAGAGGAGAAGGCGGATCTCCCGCAAACCCTGCACCTGGGCGGAAGCGGCGACCGGAGCCGCGCAGGAAGTTGGGACCGGAACCTCTGACGCCCCGACCCCACCCCGCTCACCTGCGCAGGTAACCGGGGCCCGGAGACGGAGCGGGCTCGGAGCATGTTTGGCCCTTTGTTCCCGGCTCGTGCGTGTGTCCGGGTACGCGACCTCCTTCCCCGTCCTTGGGGCCGCGGGTGGGCGGCCGGGTGTCCGGGGCGCCCCGAACTCCCCAGCTCTTCCTCGGGCCGCACCGCCTCCCTGGAAGGCTCCCCGGGCGGGTCCGGTTCCCGGCGGATCCAGTGCCGCCACCCGTCTCCTCCCCTCTCTCAGGTCGCCGGCGCCCTCGGAGCCCAGAGGCCAGCTCAGTGAAGGTGACCCCGGTGGGCGAGACGGCGACGGCCCCTGGGCCGACCATGGCTGGCGGCCCTCGCTCCCGGGCCCGCGCCCCGTCGGCCGCGCTGTGGCTCCTGTGCGCGCTCGGCCTGGCGGGCACCCTCGCCGGGCCGCCGCCCACGCCCCCCGCGCCGCCCGCCGCCGCCGCCTGCCTGGACCGCTTCACCCCCGGGGTGCCCGCTTTCGTGCTCGACACCGACGCCTCGGTTAGCAACGGGGCCACCTTCCTGGGCTCGCCCGCCGTGCGCCGCGGCCGGGACTGCGTGCGCGCCTGCTGCGCCGCCCACGGCTGCAACCTGGCGCTGGTGGAGCTGCAGCCCGCCGGCGGGGAGGACGCCGCCGCCTCCTGCTTCCTCTTCAACTGCCTCTACGAGCAGAACTTTGTGTGCAAGTTCGCGCCCAAGGAGGGCTTCGTCAACTACCTCACGAGGGAGGTATACCGCTCCTACCGGGAGCTGCGGACTCAGGGCTTTGGAGGTAAGACGCGGGGTGTGGCGATGGATGGATTGAGGGAGACCCCGAAAAGGAGACGTCTGTGGGGTCCTGGGAGAGGGAGCTTCAGGGAGGGGTTACTGAGAAGAGTCCCATCTAGCCCAATCCCCACTTAGATGTAGGCAGTATGCACAGTAAACAAAGGTGAGAGAGGAGGGCTGACATCCCAAAGCCCGGACCCGCGTCTGGATGGAGGGGGTTGAGTGGGCTGGCGCTCTGGGCAGTGTGTTTGCGATGGAGGAGGCAGTTCCTCTGATTCTCGGTTTCTGGCTCTGATATGCTGCTGAGTCGGGGAGTGAGCTGCCTGGAGGCCTCCCGATGACTAGAGGGCACCCCCGGGCCCAGGCTTCCCGGGGCCCAGCACGCTCTGAGGCACCAGGTGCGCCTGATGGGGGAGAGAATCCTCCTCGAGGATGGGCTGGGGACTGGTTAGCATCTCTGCACCCTGTCCCCCACCTATTGGCCTTTGGTGGTCTGGGGGAAGCTGCTGACCACAGACACTAAGGACAAGTCTAGTTAACCCAAAAAGGGAGGGGGAGGGAGCATAGCAGCCAGAAGCTCTGGGGTGGGAGTGAGAAGGGCTGTGGGTGAGTCAGTTCATCAGTATGTATACCTGGTAGGGCAGGGATGTCAGCTGTCCCGGCAGGTGTGTGTGCCAGGCCGGGCTCTCTCTCTCTCTCCCTGGCTTAGGATCTGGCACCAAGCCTTCTGCTCCCCTTGTTTACTTCCGGGGATAAAGGCAAAGGGGGCCAGGGCTCCTCCTCTTTCTTCCTGGGACTGAGCAATTAACTGAGATCAGGGCCCCTCCAGAGACCTTCGCTCCCCACGCTCTCCACCTGCTGTTCTGGCTCCGGGGCAGGGATGGGTCACAGCTGATGACCTCTGTTAGCACTTTACAGCTTTCTCACGGCGGTACCACTCACCCTCTCACTGAGGCCTCCTGACAGCCACCTCTGAAAAGGGGGCTGTTAGTAGTCGTCCCACTTTTCAGATTAGGAAACTGGTTCCCATGGTAAATAATGTGCCCATAAATGGTAGACCTGGGACTCAGGCAGGACCTCCAAAAGTCTGCGCTGTTTTTCACACAAGGCCGCCCTCTGAAAGAAACAGCCCTGGGGGTAACGGAGCCCGGGCCCCGGGCTGAGTCTGGGGGTGACCTCAGTTCTGGAAAGTGGAGAGACTGTCCTCTCCAGCCCTTTTCGGGTCTGGTCTCTCTCCAGGTTAAGGGCCCACTCTTCCCCCTGCCCTTCAAGGAGCTCTCCTGGGTCTCTGAGGTGGGGGTTCCAGGAGGGGGCACCATGCCTGGGCCAGGACTGAGCCTGTTCCACAAGGAAGTGGCAGAGTGTAGGCGGTGATGACTCTAATTGGCCTGCGCTGCCAGTGGCACCCTTGGGAGTCCCCTCCACGGCCAGTGCCTGAAACCCCGGGGTCCGGTCCGAGGGCTGCGCTGGACCGGGCCACGCCGGGCCACGTGGTCTTGGAACCAGCCATTCTCATCGGGAAACTTTCCCACCCCAAACTGGCCTGGTTGGCACCAGACAGGGAATTTTCTTGGCGCTGAGGGAGCTGGGTAGGGCTTGGACTGGGTGTGAGCCCCAGGCCGTTTTCAGGGTGTTGCAGTGTTTTGGGGAGTGGGGGATGCTGTGTGGTGCCCAGGAACCCATACTCCGCTGAGTCCGGTTAGAGAGACTGGAGGTGGGTCAGCGCCGGAGAAAGCCACTTTGTCAGGCAAGATGGGCTGGTGCTTAGGACTTTAAACCTTTGGTTCTTGTGTGAGGTAGAGAAATCCTCCCCAGGACGGGTTTGTTGTTCCCCTTTCTTCCTGTGGCCGGGCAGGGCCAGTCCAGATTCCTGTGGCCTCCTGAGCACCTCGCTCCTTCCTCTCCTGCCTTCTCCCCCCTCCCCTGGGAGGAGGGGCTTAGGAGGTGGAGTCTGTTTGCCCGGAGATGTCCCGGGGCAGGCAGCTGAAGGCAGGGCTGGCTTTATTACCACTCTGGCCCTTTGCTCTCTTGGGCTGGGAAGGAGGGAGTGGTAGGACAGGTCATCTGCCCCTTGCTCCTGGGCACTGGGGCTTGGAGACAGCCAGCTGTGTGGGGGTGGACATGGCTGATTTGGCCCCGAGTCTGACACATTGCTCTGCCTGCCACTTCCACCTTGGGTGCCGGTGGGGCTAGCCTGTCTGCCTGCCAGGGAGACTGCCCATAGCCTGTCTTCTTTCCCTTTTAGGTAGCCGGTTACTCAATGAGGAGTGCAAGGAGGGAGGAATGGCTCCTCCCAGCACTGCCCCTCTGCTTTGTCTCTCAGAGGTCACCTCTGAAGTGTCCCTGTGACTCAGACTCCAGCCAGCTGTTCTTATTTCTCTACCTTCTCTTCTCCCTTCCAACTCCCTCTGACGTTGGACATACCCTCTGTAGATCCCCTGGGGAGGCAGTTTGGCAATATCCACAAACACTGTACATGCCTATTACCCACAGCACAGTTCCTCTTTTCATTCTGTGGCTGTATTCTGCATGTGTAGCACAACTCACCAGGTGTTCACTGTCGCATTGTTTATGATAGCAAGAATGGGAAAGGTCACAGTGTCTGCCAACACGTCCTGTGATTGGGAACTGTGGTGATATATTAATAATAGTAATAATAAATTCTGAGGCAGCATGGCTTGGTTGTTAGCAGAGAAGGAAGGGAAGGCTCAGTGGATAAAGCGTCAGCCTGTGGACTGAAGGGTCCCGGGTTCGATTCCTGGTCAGAGCACATGCCTGGGTTGTGAGCTCAATCCCCAGTAGGGGCGTGGAAGAGACAGCCAATAATGATTCTCTCATCATTGATATTTCTATCTCTCTTTCTCCCTTCCTCTCTGAAATCAATAAAGAAATGTTTTTTTAAAAAAAGAAGGAAGGAAAGGAGGGAAAACTAAATCAAGAGGAGACTGGTGGACTGGTTAAATATTATGGTATATTTATATGAGTATGTGCAACTAAAAAAAAAATACGTTGCATGCTTATGGGTTCAATGTCATCTCTGTTGATAGTCATACACACACAAACTAGCAAGAGTAGATATCTCTGGAAAGAACCTGGGCATTTAGGAGAAGAGAGAACTTAATTCTCACTATCCTTTTGTACTTTTGAATTTTACGTCATGTACCCCTATTACCTAAACTGAAAACAAAAATCCCAAGATTATAAAAGCAATCAAAAATACACCGCTAAGCAAGTGAGTGGCCTGCAATATGGCATTTTGAAGAAAGAATGAGCTATGGAATTATATAGAACAGGGTTCAAATCCCAGCTCTGCCATATAGAATCTGAACAACCCTAGGCAAGTCATTTAACCTCTTTGGTGCCAATTTTCTCCTCTGGAAGAAGGGATAAGAATGCAGGACTCTGAAGTTGCAGAGCTCAATCCCCAGTAAGGGGTATGCAGGAGGCAGCCGAACAATGGTTCTCTCTCATCATTGATGTTTCTCTCTCTCCCTTTCCCTTCTTCTCTGAAATCAATTTAAAAAAACGTTTTTTTTAAAAAAAAAAATGTAGTTGTAGCAGGTTGTTTAGGAAGGTGGGTGATGTAAATCAGGGGTGAGCAAACTTTCTATAAGCTTCCAAATAGTAAATGTTTTATGCTTTGTGGACCATGCAGTCTCTGTTGCAATATTCAACTCTGCTGTTGTAAGGTGAAAGCAGCCATCCACAATGTGTAATTGAGTAGGCGATGCTGGTTCTGACACAAATTTGATGTACTTTTCATATCACAAAATATTATTCTTTTTATTTTTTTCAACCATTTGGAATGTACTAGGTGGGGGGCTGGATCTGGTTTGCAGGCCTCGTGTGCCTACTCTGTGGTAGCTGATGCAGGTGAAGTACCCAGCGTGGCAGCTTTGCTAATGATGACGACTCCAGATTTGTTTTCAACCTTGGCTTCTCTGGAGCTCCCACTGTGTCCCTCCCCTCTGGCTGGTCTCACCTCCCTCGAATTTAAATTCCCTGTGACTGAATGCACACATTTCCTCTATATCTGATTTCCCTCTGCCTGTGACTGAATGCACACATTTCCTCTATATCTGATTTCCCTCTGCCTTACTCTTCCTCTCCATTCCCAGCACCTGTCAGACACACCCACCACTGATGCTGACATCCTCCTTTCCATTCCCTTAGCTCTCCCTAATTCAGGCCACTCTCATAGCATCTGCCCTGACCCACTGTCAGCCCGCTCGCCAGCCTCCTAGTTCAGACAGCTGGCCCTGCCTTAGCCCTCCAGGTGTCCACCAGGCATCTAGATCAGTGTCTGCTGCAGCCAGGGCTTCTAGGACTCTTGCCCCTCTCTTGCAGCCAGTGTCCCCTCCTGTACCACCAGTTGTTAAACATTCAAATGTCACTCCTCCTGTGTCCACATGCCCTGGCTCTGTATTCAAGGCCCTTTGAGGTCTGTCCAGGCCAGCCAGTCTCTTTCATGTCATGCTACCAGCCTTGCGAATCCCCAACTCCTCATGTTTTCTTGTTTTATTATAAAACAGTTTTTGTGCTTTGTTTTAATTGATTTCAGAGAGAGAAAGGGAGAGGGAGATAAAAACATAAATGATGAGAGAATCATCGATTGGTACCTCCTGCAGGTCCTCTACTGGGGACCCTGCCTGCAACCCTTGACCTTCTGTTCATAGGTCGACACTCAACCACTGAACCACATTATCCAGGCAAGCCCCTCATATTTTCTGTTTCATCAACAACATAGCACATTCTTCCCCACAACCAAACAAATAAAAACAAAAATGAAAGAATCAATACATTCTTTCTCCCTTCTCCAAAAAGACTTTTTAAAAAATTATTATTACATATTTTTATTGATTTCAGAGAGAAATGGAGAGGGACAGAGAGGGAAACATCAATAATAGAGAATCATTGATCAGCTGCTTCCCGCACACTCCCCATTGGGGACCAAGCCTGCAACCCAGGCATGTGCCCTTGACCGGAATCGAACCTGGACCCCTCAGTCCACAGTCCACTTAGCCAAACCAGCGAGGGCCAAAAATACTTTTCTTCTTCTTCTAGTCTTTCAGAGCCTCTCCCTTCTCTGGATGTCCATCCACTTCCTTATCCTGTGTACATACTTCCTGTGGCTGCATCTTGTTGCGTCTTTTCTCCCAGACAGCTTCGTGTGCTTGGGTCCTACCTGCCTAACTGGGCTGCAAGTCGTTCAAGGACTAATTTCCTGTAACAACGTATTACAAACTGGGTATCTTAAAATCACAGAACTTTGTTGTCTCACAGTCCTGGAGGCCAGAAGTTCAAAATCAAGGTGTTGGCAGGGCTCTGCTCTCTCTGACAACTCTGGAAGAGGGTCCGTCTTTGCCTCTTCCAGTTTCTGGTGTCAACAGGGCTTCCTTGGCTTGTGGCTCCATAACTCCAGTCTCTGCCTCTGCCTTCACACAGCCCTTTCTTCCTTCACTCCATGTTCTCCTATCCTGTCTTTTTTTTTTTTTTTTTTTTTTTTTTTTTAAGGTATACTAGAATACAAACTGTTCTTTTAAAAAAAAATACATTTTTATTGATTTTGGAGAGGGAGAGAGAGAGAGAACCACCAATGATGAGAGAAAATCATTGGTCATCTGCCTCCTGCATGCCCCTTACTGGGGATCAAGCTCACAACCCAGCATGTGCCCCGACTGGAAATCGAACTGTGACCTCCTGGTTCATAGGTCGATGCTCAACCACTGAGCCACACCGGCCCGGCTAGCCTCTTTTATAAAGACACTTGTCTTTGACTAATCCAGGATGACCTAATGTGGAAATGCTTAACTTGATTACTTCTGCAAAGACCTTTTTTCCAAATAAGTTCATATTCATGAGTTCAGGAGGTTAGACATGGAGTCTTTGGGGGGCCACCATTCAGCCTACGACAGGCAGGAGTCCTGCTTTGTGCTTTGTGTCTCTCTTCAGCTCCGGGGAGGTCTCAGATGCAGCCACTGTCAGGTTGAGGGAGGGCCTGGTTTCCTTGGGAGGCAGGTCTGTCTGAGGTGGCAGAGGCACCCTCTTCCTGTGGCCACTCTCCCTGGACACCAAGATTGTCACATTGCTGCCTGGGGACTCTGTGTGTAGGGTCTCTGTCAGCAGAGGGGATGATGGATGTTAACTCTACATTTACTTACTTGGCTTCTCAAAATTATTGTTGCTTTAATTTTTTTAAAAATGTGTATTTTCACTGATTTCAGAGAGGAAGGGAGAAGGAGAAAGAGAGAAAGAGAAACATCAGTGATGAAAGAGAATCATTGATCGGCTGCCTCCTGCACACTCCACACTGGGGATCAAGCCCGCAATCCAGGCATGTGTCCTTGACCGGAATTGAACCCAGGACCTTTTCAGTCCACAGACCAACACTCAACCCACTGAGCCAAGCCGGCTAGGGCGCTTTAACTTTTTAAAGCAGTCAGCATAAGACCTACTTAATGTAGAAGATAGGACTAAACCTCCCCTAAAAATTTTTTTTTAAATGGGATCAGATGGCACATGTTGTATAGTAATTTGCTTCAGAAAGTAAATCTTACAACATAAAAATGTCTTTAATATACCAAAGACATAATAAGTATAAATGGAGAGCAAGCAGATGGTTTAGCCCTAGCCGGTTTGGCTCAGTGGATAGAGCATCAGCCTGCGGACTGAAGGGTCCCAGGTTTGATTCCGGTCAAGGTCATATGTCCGGGTTGTGGGCTCGATCCCCAATAGGGAATGTGCAGGAGGCAGCCCATCAATGATTCTCTCTCATCATTGATGTTTCTATCTCTCTGTCCCTCTACCTTCCCCTCTGAAATCAATAAAGAAAAATATTAATGAATTAAAAAAGAAGATGGTTTATTTGTGGGTTCCCACCTGTGCCCCATGCTGGTTGCTGAGTCCTAGGCTGGTCTAGGTGTGACCCATAGAGCTCCTCATCTCAGGAGAGATCTGGTCCGTTCAGTGAAAGTTGACCCTACCCCTCTCTCCCCCCAGGATCCAGGATCCCCAGGATCTGGGCAGGCATAGACTTGAAGGTACAGCCCCAGGAACCCCTGCTGCTGAATGGCGTGGAGAACACAGACTGGCACCTGCTGCAGGGTGACCCGGACGTCAGGGTAGAGGTGAGACATTGGTCTGGTTCCCTGGTTGCACCCAGCTCTCCAGGGCCCCCTTTCTCTCCGGGGCCATAGGCCAAGGTGGATAGATGCTGAGGATACATCTGATAGCAGGTCCCTCTGTTTGCCGGGGGTGGTGGTGGCTGGGAGGGCCCGGAGGAGCCCAAGGGAATCAGGGGTCCCAGCCTGATGGCCACTCGTACGTATAGAGGAAAGATCCGGACCAGGTGGAGCTGTGGGGACTCAAGGAAGGCACCTACCTGTTCCAGCTGACATTGGACAGCTCTGACCAGCCAGAGAGCACGGCCAACATCACCGTCACCGTTCTCTCCGCCAAGCAGACGGAAGGTGAGGGGGGCGGGTAGGCAGCATCTAGAGCCGCCCCATCTGTTGATTGGCCCCTCGGCCCCCTCACAAGCTCTCCTCCCCACAGAATATTGCCTCGTAACCAAAAAGGTGGGCCGCTGCCGTGGGTCCTTCCCCCGCTGGTACTATGACCCCAAAGAACAGATCTGCAAGAGTTTCGTGTATGGAGGTTGCTTGGGCAACAAGAACAATTACCTTCGGGAGGAAGAGTGCAAGCTAGCCTGCCGCGACGTACAAGGTGGGCCTTTGCATGGAGGCTTTGGGGCTCAGGTGACTTTCCCTCAAGGTAGGTGGTCTCTCTTCCCTAGTCATGGAGGTAGGGATGAGAGTCCCCGATTCCCAGGCCCCCCATCAGCTCATCCCTGCCTATCTCCTCACACTTCTTTGTTTTCTCTTTCCCAGGTTCCTCCACGGAAAGGCGCCATTCAGGTAGGCTTTGCTCCCTTCCCTAGTCCCCTCACTCCTGCCAGATCTCCAGCCCATATCATGTCCATGCCCTTGACCAAGCTGCTTTTGCCCAACCCATTCCTCCCCTCATAGTAAGTGGACAGAGCACAAGCACCCCACCCTCTGCAGCCTAGCATCCTCCTGTCAGGATCTGCCCTGTGTGTGTGAGGAAGGGTTCAGGGGGACAGGTGGGGAAATAGTGGGCGTGCCATGATTCTGTGCTGGGGCAGACAGGGCCAGGTAGATGATGGGCCCTTGGTACTTGCTGGCCTCTGCTGGAGCGTGACCTCACCCCCTGCTGGTTCCTCCCCCACTCAGTGTGCTCTGACACCTGTCCCTCCTCCGAGTTCCGCTGCAGCAATGGCTGCTGCATCGACAGCTATTTGGAGTGTGATGGCACGGCCGATTGCTCGGACGCCTCCGACGAGGCCACCTGTGAAGAATGTAAGGCCTGGGAGGCGGAGGAGAGGTGGGCAGCAGGGAGGGAGGTCCTGACAATTTACCCTGCATCCCTGGGAGACCATTGTGGGGGCTGTGCCTCTGAGCTTTCGTTTTTGCAGACACCAGTGGCTTCGAGGAGCTTCAGAGCTTCCGTTTCCCCAGTGACAAAGGTGAGGCCCCCAGATCCTCCGGGTGAGGGCAGATGCTGGCACTGCCACCTCACTCATCCTGTCACCGTGCCAAAGGCCTGCTGTGTGCGCCGGGCTCTAGGCAGAAGAGCCAGGGCGGGCTTCCAGCTCTCTTCTTTGGCTGTTTCCTAAGTATAATCTCTTTTTTCTTTTTCTTTTTTTAATGTTTTTATTGATTTCAGAGAGGAAGGGAGAGGAAGAGAAAGAAACATCAATGATGAGAGAAAATCATTGATCGGCTGCCTCCTGCATGACCCCTACCGGGGATCAAGCCCGCAGCCTGGGCATGTGGGCATGTGCCCTGACCAGGAATTGAATGGTGACCTCCTGGTTCATAGGTTGACACTCAACCATTGACCCACACCAACTTCTTAACACCTTCAGAAATGTAGCCATGCCTACAGATCACTGAGGTAGTATTTACTTAATATTTTTATTATCCAGCCAAAACCGGTTTGGCTCAGTGGATAGAGTGTCGGCCTGTGGACTGAGGGGCCCTGGATTTGATTCCGGTCAAGGGCATGTACCTTGGTTGCGGGCACATCCCCAGTAGGGGCTGTGCAAGAGGCAGCTGATCGATGATTCTCTCTCATCGATGTTTCTAACTCTCTATCCCCCTCTCTTCCTCTCTGTAAAAAATCAATAAAATATATTAAAAAAATAATAAAATTTATTAATGTTGTCTTATACTTATTTTAATAGTCAGTCTCAAGTTTTGGTATGTAATAGTGAATTTCCACTTATGGTAGTGATGTAAAATTTCCTTTTTAATACATTAATTTAAAAGAGTAATTGAATAATAACAATATTTTTAAAAATATATTTTATTGATTTTTTACAGAGAGGAAGAGATAGAGATAGAGAGCTAGAAACATCGATGAGAGAGAAACATTGACCAGCTGCCTCTTGCACACCCCCTACCGGGGATGTGCCCGCAACCAAGGTACATGCCCTTGACCAGAATCGAACCTGGGACCTTGCAGTCCGCAGACCGATGCTCTACCACTGAGCCAAACTGGTTTCGGCAACATTAATAAATTTTAGCTGGACATGGGTGTCTGCCAAGGCTTAGGCCCTCAGCCACTTTTGTTAAAAGGTAGACCATCATCAGTGTTAGAGAGAAAACCAAGACCTTGACACAATCAGAAAAGCTGAAAGATTGAAAAAGGGATAATTACGTGAGTCAGGGTAGTTTACTTCTGTGCCTATGATTACTGTCCATAATATGTCTTTCTGGCTTCTGGCAATACTGCACATGGGCCAGATGTTTCTGGGGCCCCGGACGCCCTCACAGAGCCACAGCCTTCCTCAGTCTGATGTGGGTCGGGAGGTGGCGGGCAGCAGCTACGTAGAGCCTGGTAGAGGGCTTGCTCAGTCTCCTTTGCCTGCCCCTCACCTCCCAGGGCACTGCGTGGACTTGCCCGACACAGGCCTCTGCAAGGAGAACATCCCACGCTGGTACTACAACCCCTTCAGCGAGCGCTGCGCCCGCTTTACCTATGGCGGTTGTTATGGCAACAAGAACAACTTTGAGGAGGAGCAGCAGTGTCTGGAGTCCTGTCGTGGCATCTCCAGTGAGCGGGGCAGTGGGCAGATGGAAGATGGGGAGGGGAAAGGCTTAGCGAGAGCGCTGTGCTCTGTCCCAAAGCCTGGGCTGGTCACTCCGAGTCTCGGAGCACCTGGAATGGGGGTGGGAGAGGATGGCAGTGGGGAGTCGGGTGCTGTGGAGCAGCTGGGCATCAGCCCTTCCTATTGACTTGTCTCTCCCCCATCATGCTGTAGAGAAGGATGTGTTTGGTCTGCGGCGGGAAGTCCCCATTCCCAACGAAGGTAAGTCTGGGTCTGCCCTATTACCAATGAGTAGTATCAACTCAAGCACCAACTGCATACGGTTGGTTGTGACTGCCTAAGCCTGTGTTGAGAAGGACCCTGAGGTTGGCTAGAGGGACAGAGTGTCACAAGCTATAGTCGTACCTACCCTAGCAGGGGAGGCAGGCACCGTGGAGTGTGTGTAGATGTTTGCTGTCAGTCCCAGGCCTTTCTCCAAGCTCCCTGCAAACAGAGCAGCTTGGAGCTGAGACCTGGGGCCCCATCAGAATCCGTCCCACTGAGCTCCCCATAGAGCCGTTCATCTGACTTGGTCCTCTCGATACAGAGCGGGGTGGGCACAGAACTGAGCGGGTCCCAGGGGCTCTTCGTTCTGTCCTGTCTTTCCCTAGGCTCCGCGGAAGTGGCCGTTGCGGTGTTCCTGGCCGCCTGCATCGTGGTGGTGGTGGCCATCCTGGGGTACTGCTTCTTCAAGAACCAGAGGAAGGGCTTCCATAGCTACCGCCACGGCCATCGCAACGCCCAGCCCCCCACCCCCGCCAGCTCCACCATCTCCACCACAGAGGACACCGAGCACCTGGTCTACAACCACACGACCCGGCCCCTCTGAGCCTGGGCTCTCACCGGCTCTCGCCAGCACTCACCGGACCCTGCTTCCTCCTCGCCAAGGAGGAGGCCTGGGCTGGGAAAGACTTTGGGGCCAGACCCTTCCTGCTGTTTCTCAGGCCTCTGCCTCAGAGGCTTGTCAGAGATGTCTGAGCTACACTCAGACCACTTGTTCCTGAGAAGGCTCCGTGTCTGAAAGGAAAGAAAGCCTTGGAGCCAGGAGTCCCACAGATGGACCTGCTTACCTTGGATTTCAGAGGAAGTTGGAGGCCTGTTTCCTGCCCCACACCGTGCTGTTGGGGAGGGGACTGGGCGGCGCCAGAAGCTGGAGGCCCAGCCCTGCCCTCCAGCACCACTCCTCCCACTCTGCACCGTCCAGAGCCGGGGAAGGACCTCCTATGAATTCTGTGTGTACAGAGTTGCTTTTTATTTAATGCCCGGGGGAGTGGGGGGGGGGTGTGGAATGAGAGGAGTGAAAAGTGGCCATCTGGCCGCTGCAGCCTCTTCCCTTCCCCCAAGAGTGAGTCCCAACTCGGCCTGACCTGGCACATGGAGCCAGAGCTGCTCCCAGCTCCCTGCACTCCCCAGGCCTCCCTGGCACCACCCCCTCCGCGCCCCCACCTCCCACAGGCCCAGTGCACCCAGAGTGTAATAAAGACGTTTGTTCCGTGGGGCTTCTGCCTCTCTGTGGGCCAGGAGAGGGGACAGGGCTGCTGGGGGGAGATGTGACCGCCCAGTCCAACCGGTTCAGGCTCTGGCCACCCTGTTGAGCAGGTTTCCACCCTTCCCGAAACTGCACCAGCACCTGAGGGTGGGGAGAAGTGCCAAGTTTGACCACCAGAGGGGCGGGGTGAGGGCCATGGGAGGAGGGGGCCCAGGGAAGCCGCAGTGCAGCCGTGTGCTATTTCCTCCTGGTTTGATCCTGCCTGCAAGCGTCGCTGGGGCAGGTCTTCACTGCCCTTTTTGTGGGGCCTAGGACAGGGGTCCCACCTGGCCCAGGGCACCACTGTCCCCTCCCACCCACAGGAGCCAAGTGCTCCCCAGACTCTGGACGCCCACCCAGGAGCCTTTAGTTGTGCTCCAGTCGCACCCACACCCTGTCTCCCTTTGTTTGAGCCACATCTTGGTGCAAAAACCAAGGCATGCTTTTAATTCGTTTATTCTTTTGTTCAACAAATTAAGCCCCTATGTGCTAGGTATTGCCAATCATTAGGAATTCTGTCTTGTCGAGATAAGCACACACAAAGCACTGTGTAAATGCTTTACACGTCTCAAGTTACTGTCTCAGCACGCAATCCTGTAATACTGTACAGGTACTATAATTCCCATTTCACAGATGAGGAAACTGACAGCAAAGGTCTCAAAGTCTTAGAGCTGGTTCGGGGAGACTGGATTTAAATCCTAACTGGCTCCAGAGCCTAGTCTTACAAAAGGGAGACTCCGGTTGCGATAAGTGCTCTACAGAAGGGTAAAGCGGCAATGTGAGAGGCTGGAGGCTAATTTTAAACGAGTCTGACCCAGGTGAATATGCGTGTCACAAGTGCCCAGCTCTGAGTTTCCATAGCTGCGCACATCCAGAACACCCAGGGCAAGAAGCGAAGGGTCCTAGCTCCCCAGGATGGGGTACTTTCCTCTCTGTTTTGTGTGTGTGTGCCTCTTGTGCTCAGCCTGGACCAGCTCCCCCTTTCTCATCTTTCAGCCTAAACTCTATTCCTGAAATCCTGCTCACACCGCGGGCGACATCCCTGCTTCAGACCCCATGTCTGCTAACGGGACCCTGAGCTCGGAGCACCCCTTTTCCTTTCCATAGCTTATTGTCTTCCCACTGGGCTTAGCTCCTTGAGACACAGATGGCGTCTTAGTGGTCTCTGGGTCTCCCCTCACTCCAGGACCGTAGTAACTGGTGCTGCGCTACCCGGAGTAGATGGCAGAGGGTTGGGCCCCTGACCTTGCTTTGGCTCGTCCCCTCTCACGGGGCACTGCATTTTTGTTTCCGAATTTGCCAGCCACTCACTCATCCACCCTTCAAGGCTCAAAACAACTTGCTCCTCTTTTGGTCCACCCAGCATCAATCAACTCCTATTATTCCTTGGTTTTCAAAAAGCATTTCGAGGGCTGAGGTGATTAATGACTCCTTAAACTCTGTATCCCATTTCTTAGAGCAGTTATTAACACAGAGTAAGTGCTTAATGAATGTTTGTTGGGCTGAAGGGAACATCCTCCCAGGGAAGGGTAGAGATGAAGTGAGTATCTGCCAGGCAAAGCACCATCCCTGGGTCAGCCACGGCGTTAAGAGGTGAATTCGCACAAGGGCCACTAGGCGGCGCTCTCACCGCTGTTGGGCGCTGTGATCTTGGCTGCAAGGGTTTGAGCAGAGTACACAGTCCCAGGCAGGGGTCAGGTGTGAAGCAATGAAAATTGAGATGCCATCCCTGCCGAAACTGGTTTGGCTCAGTGGATAGAGCGTCGGCCTGCGGGCTGAATGATCCCAGGTTCGATTCTAGTCAAGGGCACGTACCTTGGTTGCGGGCACATCCCCAGTAGGGGGTGTGCAAGAGGCAGCTGATCGATGATTCTCTCTCATCGACGTTTCTAGCTCTCTGTCTCTCTCCCTTCCTCTCTGTAAAAAAATCAATAATATATATATATATATATTTTTTATTTTATTTTATTTTTTTAAAGATGCCACTCCTGTTCTCCTGGAGTATAGGCAGAAGAGATGCATATACTGTTGGTTCCAGATTGCTCCTTATCTTTGTGACTTCCCCAGCTGTCCTCTGTCCATCCCCACCCACATGACTCCTTTCTCGGAATCTCACGCCTCCATTCCTTTGCACAGGCAGTTACCTCCACCTCAAATGCCTCTTTTCCCTGGAAACTCCTACTTACCATGTCCTCCAGCTCAAAGAGCCGTCCCCTCGTTCCCCAGGCAGAATTCAAAGCTGCCCTCCATTCTGTCAGGCTTACACAGCTCTGCTGAGGAGTAGATGTCTGCCCTCGTGTGGGCAGGACTCCTCAGGACAGGGATGGGGCCTTGTTAGCTCTGCATCCCCTATGCTTGTGGCTCTGAGGTATCCAGCAAATGGGCTGCTGAAGAAAGCAGAGCTGGTCAAGCCTTAGAGATTAAGAAGGTTGACTTGGGGTGGTAAACACACAATACAATGTACAGATAATGTAGAATTGTATACCTGCAGCCTATACAGCTTTATTACCAATGTCACTCCCAATAAATTGGATAAATAAAAAGAAGGAGGTTGGAGCTTCAGGGAGGAGGTATGAAGTAAGATGCACAGGCGCCGGGACCGGTTTGGCTCAGTGGATAGAACGTCGGCCTGCGGACTGAAAGGTCCCGGGTTCGATTCCTGGCAAGGGCATGTACCGTGGTTGCGGGCACATCCACAGTAGGGGGTATGCAAGAGGCAGCTGATCGATAACTCTCTCTCATCGATGTTTCTAACTCTCTATCCCTCTCTCTTCCTCTCTGTAAAAAATCAATAAAATATATTTAAAAAAAAAAAAAAAAAAGATGCACAGGCCCTGGCTGGTGTGGCTCTGTTGGTTCTAACATTGTCCCGTGGAACAGAAGGTGGCAGGTTAGATTCCACGTCAGGGCACATCCCCAAGTTGCAGGTTTGATGAAGGCACATGCAGGAGGCAAGCAATTGATGTTTCTCTCTCTAAAAATAAATAAATTTTAAAATGTGGGCTAGAAGGGGTCAATGGGGGGTGTGAGGGTGGACATATGTAATACTTTCAACAATAAAGATTTTAAAAACAAAAACAAAAAACACCTGTGGGTGTTCCAGGCATAACAAAATCATAGGGAGCAAAAGCTGGGTAGTGGAGATTATGGATCTTGATTTGTTTGGAGACCAGCAAGCTGCTCAGTTTGGCTCAAGCACTGATGGAGGTTGGTGGGTAGAGGCCACATTGATGGGCACTTGGGGATTTGAGCAGGTGAATGGGGTGATCTAAATTCACGTTTAAGGAATAGACAAGTCCTGGCTGGGTAGCTTAGTTGGCTAGAGCATCCTCCAATATGCCAAGGTTGCAAGTTTGATCCCCAGTCAGGGCACATACAAGAAGAAACTAATGAATGCATAAATAAGTGGAACAACAATTGATAGTTCTCTCTCTCTCTCTCTCTCAAATGAATAAATTAATATTTTTTAAAGTTGAAAAATAAATTTAAAAAAAAAAGAAAAGAAATGGGCAGGTAAGCAGGCCATATCACTAGAGGCCATATCACCACAGGAAGAGGGAGGTGGCCAAGCCCAGTAAATAAGACAGAGTAACCTATGTGAAGTACATAGTAGATGTACAGTAAAGACTAGCTGAAAGGTTGTACCTGGCAGCCTGCAATCACATTTTGACCCAAACAGTGTTTTCTTTAGTTAAGTTATCAACATTTAAAGAGTCAGGAAACTTCATTTAAAAAAAATCCTGCCCTAGCCAGTTTGGCTCAGTGGATACAGTGTTGGCCTGTGGACTAAAGGGCCCAATTCAATTCCAGCCAAGGGCTCATGCCCGGGTTGCAGACTCGATCCCCCCCCCAGTAGGGGATGTGCAGGAGGCAGCCAATCAATGATTCTCTCTCATCATTAACGTTTCCATTTCTCTAGCTCTCTCCTTTCCTCTCTGAAATCAATAAAAATATATTTTTAAAAAATATCCTTTTCTAGCTTCTTGTGAAAACAGGGCACTGGCAATCAGGAACCCATATTTCTGCAATAATGCAGGCGCCAGATTCAGGTCCCCTTGAGGTGGGCAGGTGCTAACAGCCGGTCGCTCCCAGACATTCAACTTTGGGGCTCCATCATCTTATCCCTTATAACCATCCCGCCTTCCCAATATTGGAGAGTTTTAACAACATTTATTTGTCCTAACAATTCAAATAAACACTAACAAAACCCTGATTGTTTCTCCCAAACCTATCCCTGCTCACTTAAACAAACAGCTCTGAATGAGGAGTGGTTTGTCCTATTGCACAAGACCACTCCCTTC